AATTGAACCAGAGAGAGAAAAAGAGAGGGAGGGAAAGTGAGAAAGCAAGCTGCCAGGTCCAGGACTCGAACTGCAGTCAGCCAGATAGGAGTCCAGCACCTGAACCACCATGCCACCTGCCAGCCCCTGCGACTCTTTGTTTTAAAATATCTTTTCAAAAATGGGTCCAAAGTAGGATGGATATACCACTTAATCAAAGTAACTGTAGTCATCACCACACAAAGCACTATTGGATGCAATGGAATTAATCAGAACTATTACCTATACAACTAAAAGATCACAAACAAAACTACTCCCTCGTAAAACATGACACATCTGTAGGATACAAGAGTATACATGATGGTTAGGAACATAGGATGGCATCGAAATGCTAGCTGTGTGGGTAGGGACAAATTACTTAACCATCAATGTGCCTCGCCTCTGTCCTCTGTGAAACAAATGATTAAAATATCTACCTTATGAGGTTGTGGGTAATTGAGCTAGCATATTATTCTGCCCCTGAAAAAGTGCCTGGCACAATAAATGAGTATAAAAGTCATCCATTATCACTGTGTTTTTAACTTTTGAAAGCCTCTTTACATATTGCATTTTCCCCCTCACAACAATGTGATGAGATTGGATTGTTTGCTATTACGATGTGAAGAATAGGGCACTGTCGGAGAAGACATGACTACCCTAAGATACTTTAAGTGGCTTAGTTTGGACTAGAAACCACATGTAACCTCCACCTGGCCCAAATTGATCAAATCACCACAGACACAGTTTGGAGCATTCTTTTATGTTTTCCCCATTGTTTCTTCCTGGTGTCAGCCACAGCCTACCTGCAGACCTGGTAGGAACCGATGAACCACCCAATCTGCGCACGCTGAAAAGTCGGAGAAGCTTTACTTTCACAGCGCCTGACGGACTGGGCACTACAAAGACAGTAGCTATTGATGAGCGAAACACAAAGCGCTACTGTGCTCCTCAATTACAGAAGAAGGTACTCCACAAAATCAAGTCTGCCAGAAAGAAGACCTGCTTAATAGTATGTTTTTCTGTTACAAACACAATGTGACAACAGAAACTAAAATTAATTTTTTTTAAAGAGAGAATTTTGCTGTAGGGTGTGTGCGCTTGCCCAAGAGACAGAGAGACTGATAGTGAGAAATCACCCCTTTGGGGGGGATGGCCATACTGCAATCCTTTCTCCTCCATTCTCCTCTCAGGATCCTGGGCACGCATGCCCACGTGCCCTGCGTGAGTTTCAAGCCATTGGGTCTGGGCCTCGAACTGTTGTGGACTATGTGGGAGTCCAGCGACATATCCATTATGCCATCTGCTGGTCCCAAAACTAAAGTAATTTTTAATAATTTTGTTTTTCTAACTCAAAAAAAATACAAGTTTTACAAAAAGGACTTTCACAAGACTGCTGAAAATTACCCCAACTAATTATATTTCATGACATGCTTCTTTGCCCAAATAAGCAACTGATATGACTAAACAATATTTCAGCTTGGGAATACCTTCATCAGTACTTATTGCTTAGGCTGCAACTGAATTCCAGCCCCGCAGCTTCTGTACAGCCACCTGCCCATTGAACAGAACACAGTTAATGCACTTCAAATTCAAAGGCAGAGGAAAGGCTTCCAGGGAACCCATCTGAACCAGGTTAGTTCCAAAGTGCAAAAGGTCTCCACAACCACACCTAGACACCTCATCTTTTTATTTCTCTTCAAATGAGCAATTAGAAGCTAAGATACACATAAAAGATCAGATTTGACAGCAGCCCCTGGCTGGGGCCTACCTGTGCATTGGCGGCAATGCCACTCTGACGCTCACTGCGGCGCCTGGAGATACACAGGTAAGGCAGTCCTGGCCCCTGGCCTGGAGCGCGCTCTTCCAAGCCTTGCACGTGGCGCCACCTGAGACATCTGCCTACAAGGGATCCAGCAGGGGCGGGGCCCGAGGTGTGTTTGGGGACAGTGCCGCTTCCAGACCCACCAAGATTGGAGCAGGAAGGTCTAGATGGTCCTTCTGTAAACCCCGACTGGGCACCCGGCCCTCCTCGCTCCGGGCCACCTTACTCCCGCCGATCTGGCTCGCGGGGCCTCCCGACACCTGGGGGAGCCTCAAGGAGTCACCTCCCGGCGCCTCCGCTCACTGGAGCCGGCGACGCCGCCACCTGGCCCGGAACGCTAAGTCACGGTCGAGCAACCGTTACCGGAGCCCGCGACCGGGGAGGCCAGCGACTCCCG